CGCATGCATTTAGCTAAGTCCGCACTTGAACCATAACTCGATCTGGTACCTGATCGAGACACAGAGCTACAGGCATATGACGACATTTGCATTATTCATTTGCATATCCCAACTCCCCATCTGTACAGGTGTTAAATTATATAATTAATAGGTGTACTATTAAGTTGTATAAACTGAAGAAAGAGTGCAAAGATCTGAGTCCAAAGTGATCGACAATTCAAAGTGATCTTCAAATGAATCTTTAGTAATCTTCAGGAATCTCAGCTAAACAAATTCATAAAACTGGAAACAAGTCTTGACCACTCAGCTATAATATAGCTAGCTAAAAACTAGTTTTCACAGATGACAAATTTCCATTTGTATTTCCCATTATGGAACTCGACGAGCACTACGCAAGATCTTCAACGTTCTTATGAAAAAGAATATATTGATTGGAGGTAAAATGTGGTGAATACCTCTTGAAGGCAAGATGAAATGGGCTACAGCTAGAAACGTAGCATTTGAGAGCTGAGCTTGACGATTTAGACATTCTCAGTTAATATATCTAAGACAATATATAGGCCACTTTGGGGGCGTGGCAAATGGACTTAAGTTTTATAACTCTACTTCTCAGAGCAAGAAGTCTTCCAAGTACATGTTAGACCCGTAAGACTGGGATTCCTCTGCCAGTTGCCAGCTCCCAGCTCTGCTAACGCCAGAACAACTCGTTTGCTCTTACCCTGAGCGAGTATTATGGCATCAAAGTGCCTTAAAAAGATGCAAGTGCTAGATAAATAGCTTCCAGTTTTTACATATATATAAGAGAGGAGGGAGAGAGAGATCTGAGTTTGTAGATCTGAAGATTAACTAACTTTAGAGTGAACCAAACTGAAGAGCTGAAGTCGTGAGCACGTGGAATATGTTGGCAACACAAACTGACAGCGCTGCATATGTATATAAACGGGTTATTTTATTTAAAGGGCGTTTAATTGTTTAAATGCTCGAGATTTGCATAAATTTCTAGTTAAGAATTGAGTTAGAAAAGCCAGCCAAATGGCAAAAGAACAAAGGGCGGGAGAGGCAGAGGGAGAGGGAGAGGGAGGTGGGCAGGGAATATGAAGAATATAATGATGATACATTGGAATCAAGAAACGCTAGTCATTCCCATCATTGAATACATAATATTCGCATATTTTGCTGAGTTCTAATCGCATCTCAAGTCGACCGAGTCGAGATGGCGACTGAGTCGATCTCTCGTATGTGTATATAACCCGAATTACGGGGTAATTACGACGTCTGCGCATGTTCCACAAATGCAAATCAAGGCGAACGGCAGACAAGAAAAATGATCAATTTGCATTTAGCGGACATTTGAATGCTCTATAAATGAGTATTGAGCAGAATGAAGATCAGTTAATGATCTGAGTTCACTAAACTTGATTTTCAGTTGAACTCAAGAGAGAGAGAGAGAGATAGAGGGCGATCACAAAGCTTACACAGATCTCTAAATGTAGTTCAGTTAATGATCTATAGAAGCTGATCGCGATTTGATCATGAGCTGATCTTTAAACGCAATTTAAATGAGGAAATAAAATATTTAAAAAAGATCTATATAAAAAATGTACAGCTAGCAGAGCTTATAATAACTTAGCTGTACAAATTTTATGAAAAAAGTGTGTCTAAAGGCAAGATCGGTTAATGAGCTAGCAAAGCAAAGAAGTTTATATAAATATATATATATGTATATGTATACATTAATATATTCTATATAGAATGCTCTTGAAGTGCTGCAAAGAACGAGTTTAAAGAGAGTTTCTTTTCATGTTTGCATTATGCCAATTGATGGAGCTTTATATAGCTTATATAGCATACACATATATACTGTATAATAGTACGTTTTTAGTCAAAACATATATATATAAATATATAAATATATAAATATATATAGAGCTAAGTGATAAGCATAAAGCAAATTAGAGCTCTTCTTCTACATACCCTAAATCTGAAACATATATTTATATATAGATATAAGTATAGTCATAGATACATATAATCCCAATGCAACGTTCATGTGCCGAAATAGCTCAGTTGGGAGAGCGTTAGACTGAAGATCTAAAGGTCCCCGGTTCAATCCCGGGTTTCGGCAGAGATACAAAATTTTTATAGAATTCTTTTTGCAATATTTTTTTCTTGAAATTAGGAAATTAAGAATTTTAAAATATCTTAAATTTGCATTTCCAAATTTCTAGACAAGCCCTGTAAAATAGAAACTGTAAGTCTCAGCTCTTAGACAAAATATTATTTCAATTAGAAGTGGAAAAAAACTATGCAAATACTAGAAACACTCTTAAGTCTGGGAAACATAGCTAGTCTATTAGGCAATCAATATCTAAGCCAAGTTTCCCGTTCGCATAGTTCGCATAGATTATATTGACAGAGAAGTGGAGCGAGTTGGCAAGCGATAGAGACATTAATTACACTTAATTATGATATGATTGCTTAGAGCTTAGAGCCGAGAGTGCAGATCCTATCGAGACTGAACAGCTGCGCGAACGGCTTAATAAATTATCGTTAAGTGCCAAGTAGGAATTGCAGAGATATATAGAGTATATATATATATAGTTATATACTTATAGTTAGCTATTGTAATTAGGAATTCCGAACCGGATCGTAGCACCTGGTGGGTGAGTCGAACCAACAATTAGGCATCCAATTTTCTAATGAGCTGGATCATTATATTTAACTACTGGGAAAAGTAAAAGGTTCGACTAATCGAATGTCACTTGATATCTCTCGGATCGCAATTACTGAGCTGAACCGAGCTGAGTTGTGCTGAGACGCGTGGAATGCAGTTGTTGTCACTTTTTTATTCATAACAATTTGTCAGGTCAATTAGTGCACATAATCCAGATATTACATCTAACTAATCTAATTGTCTTTGCCTTTCTAATAAATCATCGCAATCATTTAAATAGAGAACGCCTTTCTGCCGTAATTATGTATATAATTATAAAGTCTGAATGGTAGTCTGAATCATCAGTTCAACGATTGAACTCAATATAATCGATGCATTTTGCCAGCTCTCTTTTTTTTAAATTATATTCACATTCCATCTGTTAATAGTTTCTGTTCTTTATCGATAACAATTCGATAGACTGTCATTTCATTTTGCACATTTAGCAGTTCACTAAGTAGCATTAACATCGATTTATCGATTTATCGATTTATGCACAATTTCGATGTATTTGTGTTTTTGATAAGTTTATTATTGATAAATTCTTAAAGTTTGCCATATATATAGTTAAGTGAGTAATCAGTAATATTTGATATCAATTTATATATATCGATTGACTCTTATGTATATCGATTGCAAAATAATTTAAGTCTTATTGCAATTAATTCTATTCAAACGCATTTGATTATGTAAAATATTTCAAGTCAATCAGATTATACAATCGATTGTTGTTATCGATGAATCAATTATCGCCCGATTTCCTACTTTTTTCATTAGCAATTTAAAAATTAAATTTGACTTTCGCTTGCGATTTCACACACAAATATCTAAATATATAAATTATGAATCGACTGTTAATCAAATGCAGTCACAGTTATGCAACGAGCTTGTAAAATCTACACGTGTCGAGGTATCGATAAATTCGTGACGAGCCAACTTTGTTGCCCACTACATTTGCTTTTTTTCTTCATATAGGATTTCTCTCCAGAGTGTGTGTGTGGGCGAAAGAGCAGCAACTTGAGCTGATTCCCAGTTACATTATCTGAATTCTTTTGAGACAAGTTTTTTATGCTCGTGCACGAAGCGACTATGAGGGGTATATTGGTTGCTTAGCAATCTCTGTCGCTTGTCGTTGCTACTCGAACTGGAAATTTGGTGTAGATACTTCTTTGACATAAAGTTTTTGGCTTCTGGGAGCATTTCAAATTGGGCAATACTCTACCTATTGCAATACAATATTGCCATTAAAGCTTTTGACTTTGTATTTGGCTTAAAAAGGCTCGTATAGACAAGCTCCATAGACGTAGCAAATGGAAAAAAAGTTCTAGCTCCTCGATTGCCAGGTTTCACTATAGCTTCCCTGAACGAGTATTATCAAGTCGATCACGCAGGCCTGCAAAAATCGAACTTGTTTTTCTAATAATTTTTCACCCTTTCCATTATTTCTTGTTGTTCTTTGTTTTCCTACTTGTCTTTTGCAGCTTCCGCTGATAAGGCAAACCCTTGTCAATTTTAGTTGAAATTTGTCAACTATTTAGTAACGCCTTGTTTCCATCTGATTGACTTTCGATCTTTGTCTCCACTTACTATTTTTTTTCATTTGTTGATATTCAATTTTGCTTTTGTTGCTTCTTTGCAAATATTGTAAAGCAAATTGAACAAATTGAGTTTGTTCATAAAGTGCTTTTTCTTATTGACTTGGCGCTGTTCCAATTGGGAATCTAATAGGATTAATTCATTCCAATTCACATTTTCCACTTGCTCAATTCGAATGTTTTTCGTAAATAATTTTTTTAGTCAAACATTTTTTAGGCTTTTTAGTTTTTCTCTCCATTTGAATGTTTTCCTTGTTCTCGATAAATTTAGCAATTTTATTATATTTTATGTTTCATTTTATTTTACTTATTTTACTTGACTGTGATCAATTATTTTATTTTTTTTCAATTTTCAACTAAAAGAAATTATTTTCAAAATAAAAAATATATTTATATATTTTTATAAACGTTTTTTATTTGCCGCAAATATATTTTCTAATTGGAATCTTCGTGTCTAGCAGCGCGCAATTCTCATCTCGAATTTCGAGCTACGCCTAGTTAGGCAGATGTGCAGTTTGATCTTCAATTAGCTTTTAACGGTTCACTAGCTGAGCTTTTTTATTTATTTATTTATTTTTTTTTTGCTTTTCAATGTGTGCCTAACCTCAATTCATGTTGTGTTTTTGCGCGATTAAAGATATTTTTTAACATGATTTTTTTTATATATTTTGCATAAATAAATAAATTCTTACATTTTATATGTGGCTCTAGTTTATGTTGCAGTTGTAGTTGTTGTTGCAGTTCTTGGCACTGACACACAAAAAAAATGTTTATAAATTGTTTTTAAATTATTTTCAATTGAAACACAAACGAAACACGCAATCGAAATTATTGTTTTTAATTTTCTTACAGATTCTTTCACAAGTTTTCTTCAATGTCGCGCGCAGATAACGAGAGCAAAAACAACAGCACAAAAAAACTAACAAATACAGTTAGTTTCTTTTTTATTTGTAAATAAAAGAGAACACGCGAAAGATGAAAACGGAAATTATTCAAAGTACGAGGGAACCGTTTATTTAGTAGCCGCGTTCTTGCTGCCTGTTGCCTGCTGCTGCCTGCTGGTTGCCTGCTCTTTGGCCACGTCCAATTGGCTGCGTTTTGCAAACAGAACTAAAACGCGGCTTCGTTTGGCATCGGTTTTTTAAAAGGAAAATTGCGCCCAAGCCCAAGCGTTGACGTTGACTTTGACGCTTGCGTCGACGTTAACGTTGACGTTGACGCAGACGCTGTCGCTAACAATACAACAAAAGCACAACAACAAAAGCTAACTTAAAATTTGCAAGCCAACGCCGCCTCAGCGGCAGCAACAAAACGCTACGAAGCGAAGAGCGCGCGGCGAAAGAGAGCAAGTGTGTGTCTCTCTCTTTGCTTGGCGCCTGTTGCTGGTATTGTTGTTCTTTTCGCACTTTCTTATACTCTAGCCTGGCTGCCTTCCATTTCGTCGTTATGCAGCGAAATATCCAAAACATTGTTAAAAAACATTGTTGCCGTGCATTCGCCTGCAAGAAAAGAGAGAAAAAACAAACAAAAAAAAAATGAATTCTTGCTGGTGACAAATGCGCGCAGGTGGCCGTAGCTGACGGGACGCGACGCTCGTGTTAGGATCAATAACAATATTTTCTTAATAGCCGAAAGATCGCAAAGATAAGTTTAAACAACACCTAACAACAAAATTGTGCAAATCGTCAAAACATTAATTCTCAAGCGAAATTAATACAAAAATATTTAAAATTCACCTCAATTTGTTTGTTTTTGTTCGGACTGCATTTTGTTAGCTGTTTGTCAATTGCTCATAACGCAAACAAATTGCAAATTTATTAAAAACAAAATAAAACAAAAAACACTTTAAACAGAAAAAGGCAAAAACCAGTTCAGTATCGTAGATTGTGTAAAAACCACGCGCCATTGTCGTCACCTGCTCGTCGTAATTCCCCCATCTTAGCTTTAGATAAACAACAACAACTCCTGCTGAATCATCATCATCGGCGTCGTCATCATGATCATTAGCATGTTCATTATTATCATGTCGCTGTGATTTTTGAGGTTTCCGTATAGTTTCTGATCTCGTGCTACCACGCCCACCCCCACTCCCTTCTCTGCACAGTTAGTTCTTTGCTCGACTTTCGTAGAAATCGTTAAAAATAACAAGCGGCAAAAAAAGAAGAAGATGAACCAAAAAAGGAATCAAGCGAAGACAATGCGGCGAATTGTGAATACCCTTGCTCAAGTATGGCTCTAAGCTGTGAGCCGCTCTGCTTGCAATCTACATCATACTCTTGAGGTATTGTCTAAATATATGTGTGTATAGTCATTAATATATGTAAATATAAATATAAATATATATGTATATAATATATATATTTCTATTTCTTACAAATGATTGCTTATATTTCTTAGACAACGTTGCTTTCCTTATCGCTGAAGTGGCCACTCATACATACACATTTGCTTCATACATACATATATTATGCTTCATACATGCATGCATACATATAAGCTTGCAAAAATATAACTGCTGCATGCACACACACACGCATGCAGTGATTTGCTCAGCTGCAAACCGCTTAATTCGTTCTTGACAACATCGCCGAAATAGCTCAGTTGGGAGAGCGTTAGACTGAAGATCTAAAGGTCCCCGGTTCAATCCCGGGTTTCGGCAGCCATTAATATTTTTTGCTAATTTGCTTTTACATATTTTGTATGTAATTCATTTAAAAATTAACATAAATAAGCTAATAGATACATGAGCTTAGTATCTGCTGTACTAAGCTATATTTATACGTTTAGTTATTATTCAATTCAAGTTTTCTAAGCAACTATGTCTGCATCCAATTTTGAGCAAAGCTTTTTGTAGATATTATGACAAAATAATCACATTCCATTTTAGTATATTATTGTTTTACACATCTTACACAGCTCTCGCTAAGGCGGAGAGACAACTGTAACTTTAAATTATAAAAAAAGAACATAGACATAGAGTCGCATGGACTCTGTCGACTGTAGCGCCTAGGTCCTGGTAATACCCAGCGCAAGGGCAAATCAAATCCAGTTTTTTCAGACAATTGTTTTCTTCTGCTTCTTCATCGTTTTAGAGTGGATGGAGCTTATTTTAAATTGCAGCACTGATAGCCCCTACTGCAGCTCCAGCTCCAACTCCAACTCTGAGTCTGACTCACACAGAACTCTCAAGATCGCAGACAGAAGACAGAAAACTGGTTCCGAATAGGCGAATCGAAGTTCTCTTTTCTCAACTTCTTTTTATTATTGTTTTTTTTTTTGCAGGTGTTGGACGGTTTTTGAGTGTTTTTCTTGAGCTGATCTTAGGCTAATTTATATATATATATACGTATATACGTGTTTATAGCAAACAAATATATTTATATATATAGTTTTAGTTGCGCTACGTGACGTCAAGATCGGAACCAGTTTGGTTCTAGGTGGGGCGTTGACGCTGTGGGTGGCTTTTGGCTGTTGTATGTTTTGGTTGAGCGATTTTCAAGGCAAAACTCGAGCTGTTTCTATACTGAAATACCTTCATATGGAATACCCTATCCAAAGTTCAGTCTATTCAGAGATAGAAGATAGAAAATAGAATACAGAAGATAGAAGATAGATGATGGAAAAGAGAAGATAGAAGATGAAAGATTCAAATCAACCTCAAACTTTTCCATCTTCATATTCTATTCTCTCTATATCTGTTTGACACAATTAATCAGTTGCTCTCCCACTCTTTCTCTCTCTTTCTGGCTATCTCCTGATCAGCTGCACTAAGTTGAACGCCTTAAACACCTGCATTTAGGCATGAGTCATGAATGTGAAAAAGCATGCATATATAATTGCCTACGGATAACATACATAACTCTGGATGACGATTCTATCATAACAGCACAGCTATATACACACATATTTTATGCTCCTTGAAGAGTTTGCCAATTATCGCTTCCTTGTTGAAGGTGCAGCAGATGAAATGGCTCGAATCGATGGCGGTATCGATTGAAGCATCGATTACATGAAATATTTTGATGCAAAATCCTTTCCTTTAAGGCGTTGCTTAATACCAATTCAATTAGCTGAAGGAATTTTTAGCGGGTATAATCCCCAAAATGCGCTAATAAATGACTAAAGCGTAAAAATAATAATGAAATTAAGCAAAAACAAAAACAACAAATAAAACCACAGAAATTTGTTCACTTTATTTCACAGTTCATCAAACGGAATTTGTTCTTGTTGTTGTTATTATTATATCCTTCTCTCTCACACACTTTAATTAGCTACGTCATTGAACTACTCCGCATTGTCATTCACCGCGCATGACTCACTAAGCAAGTTGTTACGTTTGGCGCGCCGAACGCCCATTGCCGAAATAGCTCAGTTGGGAGAGCGTTAGACTGAAGATCTAAAGGTCCCCGGTTCAATCCCGGGTTTCGGCAGAGCTTTTTTTTTAAATATATCTTTGTGAAATTGCTTTTTATTTGTAATGTTTTTATTATAATTCATATATTTATAGGATTTTCAGCAATTTAGTTTAACTTTCCAAGCTTTAGCTATAAATTAAATAAAACAAACGTTTGATTATTATTCGATTTTTGCGGTTTTTATGTTTATTTAATTTTAATTTTATCTTAAAAAAACATTGCTTTTCCTTTCTTTTCCTTTTGTCACAGAGGATCTCAACACACAAAACGTTGCAATAAAATGTTTTTTTTTTCTTTTGTTTTTGTTTTCTAGGCGCATTTACTAAGGCTACAATTTGTGGCATGCGTTTGGGCATGTGGCATGTGTTTCTTAAATTAATTTTATTTTTTATATTTATTTATATTGCTTAATAAGTTGATTGTACTTCAAAGTACTTAAGAGCGGGCTTGATTTCTTAATATAAACTTTGAACAGCAGACGCGGACTTAACATAGCGGCTGCTCGCCTAACAGCACGCTGTTAAATTGAGCAGAGCTAGCGAGCGAGATGGCTATGCTAGGCAAAAGCCTGTTAAACTTAATGAAGAGAGCACAACCAAGTGCATGTAAAACTAGCAAAATGTATACATGTACATAAACTAAATGTAAATGCTATGTAAACGTAAAAGTTAAATGTAAGTGTAAATATTAAGGTAATTGTTTTGTTTTTTAAATATGTGTAAGTGTAAGCAACAGCTGCTGGTATTGAGTAAGAGGGCTTACAACGTAATTGTTCAAAATATTTAAGATAAAAAAAAATTGATTAAATGCTAAAGTAAAATGTATGTTGTATGAAACGAATTGATTGTGTCCTATATCTAAATATGTATATATAATGTATATACAACGGTTTGCGCCAGTTTCTTTTTCTTACCACTTACAGTAAATACTCGCTACAATATGCATGTAAATCAACAAGGTTTGTTTTTAACAGCCAGTTAACATGGCTATGTAATTGGTTTTTGCTTTTCATTTCATTTCTTTTTGTGTATACATTTAACATAATGGCAGCCTTTTTGATGCCCTTGCAGCGGCACTTTATAACTAGTGGCAACTGTATGTCTAATTCTATCAATTTCTATGCATTTTAGTCTCTCAGAAACTTATTTTGTCTTCGAATGCATCAAATTGTTTTAAATTGTAGCAATAGCTCTCTCTGCAAGGGCATTTAGCGTGCGGCTTGCCCCAACGAGTGCTCGCTCTTCTTTAAGCTATTTTGATCTCAGCTGCCGGCGGATTCGCCTGACTGTTACTGCCGCCAAATTTGCCAATCGCTGGCTTTAGCAGTATAAACTTGGGATTGGCCGCGGCTGCTAAGGCTACTGCAGCTGTTGCATTTGGTTTCTTGGCTGGCGTTATGGTTACCGTGCTGGGCGCTATAGCATTCATGGCTGCCGTTTGGTTTGTGGCCGCCAGCGAGGAAGCTGGCAAAATTGTGGTCACTCCATTTTCATGCTGAATTGTGTTTGCATTGTTATATATTGCACGCATTTTATTGCCATTACTTTGAGATCCTGTTGTTGTTGTTGCTGGTGCTGCTCCTGCTCCTGCTGCTGGTGCTGCTACTGCTGCTGCCGTCAGCACATTTATTTTGTGCGCCTGCTGCCGTTGAACGAAGCGAGCGGTAAACTCGTTGCCCGTCAGCACCAGGTTTTGTGTCTGTCCGCTAATAGGCAGACCACTGGCCAGTATTAAGCGTTGCACGCTGCTGCTGGTGCTGCGTGGCTTTTTCTCCAGCTGCTGTTCATCCTGCTGCAAAAGTAAAAACGAATTTAATAAATATAAGGTCTACAGTTTTAACGCCATTGTAAACAAACGTTGGCTTAAGCAGAAGTCAAGCTCATATGCATTAGAACAGGACGGCATTATCAATACTTGTGCCAGTCACAGAAGCAAGCAGCAATCATGTATGCAGTCTAATTGCAGTGCAGCGTTGACGTTTAGCTGCTTTCAGCTATAAGTACACTTAGCTAAAGCTTTAATTTAATTATGCCCACTAATATCACAAATAAGAACTTGAATTGTTCTATATGTAACAGAGTTTCAACGTTTTTGTGCCAATCACTGCAATGTAATGGAGCGAGATGACAATAGCAGGACACATATCAATGCAAACAACATAAATTAAGCTTGCATCAAAGCGAGATAACAATATAAGCTTAATTGATGATCAGGCAAATGATTCTACTACTGCGTCTGTTTTAAGGCAAGTATGCCGTTCACTCCTAGTAACATAATTTGGAATTATTTTTGCACTTACCGTTGGCGGACTCACAGATTTGCGGTCGAGCACATGTTCATCGAAGCCTGAGTCCGAGGAGTTGTCATTGAATTTGGTGGCCACCGAGGAGGAAGTAGAGCAATTGGATGAGGAAGACAACGATGAGGGCGAGGCAGCACCCACAGCGGTAGTTAAGATGTTCGAGTGCAATGCTGATGACGTAACATTGGCTGTGGAATGTTGCTGTTGTTGTACAGTTATTGTTGCTGGCTCAGTCTTATTCAATGGAATTGGACTTATTCTATGTATTTCGCCCTGTGGAAATGATTCCGATTGCCGCTTAAAATACAAATGATGCTTTTTTAATGCCGGAGTGCTGATGCTCTGACTCACTGGCTTTGACTCCAGTTCCGCCTGCACCATCGAAACTTGTTCTAGTTCCCTTTGATCCTGTTGTTGCCTGCGTCTGCGATGTTTCTCGCAGGGCTTGTACAGCTCCGGATCGATTATGTAACAGGCGCCGCCCAGACTGAGACTCTGAAAGACGGTGCCGCAGCATACGTCTAGCCGAAGCAGGTCGTGCTCCTCGAAGAACGGCACATTATCGACGGCGCGTCGATTTTTTTTTGGTTCCAGCATACGCCGGCGCTTACTGCCTGTTAGCCGCAGACGTTGTGCAACACTCTTTTTCAGGACCGAAGCTGTAGCCAGCTGCGCTGCTGCAGCGGTGCGTTTACGCGTCTGATATGGAGTTGCGGCTGTGCAGACGATCAGCTGTTGTTGTTGTTGGAGATGCTGCTCATGTTCGTCATAGCTTTCATTGGAATCGCTCGGCTGTTCCTCGGAATGGGGTGAACTTTCATGGCTGTTGCCATTGCGCTGCTGTTGACTGGCTGCAGATGGCGCTACTGCTGCTGTTATTTTACCCTTGCGATTCTTTTTGAATATCTTGGCGAATTTCTCGGGTATAAAAGAGCCACTGCCACCTGACTTAGCCTCACATTCGTTCTCTCGTTTCTTTTGCTTGGCGAGAGATTTAGTGCCGGGACCGGCGCGAGCATCGACCACCTGTTAAGGAAGAAAAATAGAGGAAGAGAATAAGTTTTGGCTTGACGACAATTTCTCTCTCTTGTCACACTTACATGTCCCCAATGGCGCTTGCTGCCAACAGGCAGCCTCTTATAGCGTTTGACCAGCAGGACGCATGCATTGCAGATTTCACCGTTACGAGGTTCATGCAGATTAAAGCATTGCATCGATTCCTTTTCGTATTTGCGCGATGCCGTAAAGCGGGAGCTGCTCGATTTGGCACGGCAAATGCAGCAGCCGTCCGTTGAGCGATAGACGCGTGGTTTATGGAAATTGAACATGGTGAAGATTGGGTTGCTTGATGGCTGTTGTTAAAGAAATTGATTTTCTTTTTGTGATGGGATGCTCTTTTTTTTTTGTCACAAAGTAAACTATTGTTAATTGTACAGTTTTAAACTACGAGTTCTATTTGCTTAGTTGCTTAAATGTTTGTGCGTTATTTGTTATTGGTTTTCACTGGTTTTAATATGTTCAATTGCTATTTGTGCACAGCCCTTATTGTTGTTTTTATTGATTTGAGCTCGGGCATCATCCATCGTCTTCGTTGCGATGTTTTGCGCTGCATTTGTGCTGTTTGTTTGCTGCAATGGAAACAATAGAAACGAAACTATTAACAAATGAATTTCAAATTAGAAACGGCGAAAGAAAGGAAAAAGAACAGCTGTGCATGACAGTGTTGTAAAACGTGCCGTTTCTATTGTCTATTGCGTCAAGTGGCAACGCTGTAAAAAAGCAACTCGATGCAAAGAAAAGGAAAATATAGATAAAATAAATATATTATTTTTACTCAATTTTATTGTAGCAATACGTGCGCATAAGCACTGACCCATTCAAGTAAATATAAATGAAAAGAATATGTGAAAATGTAACAGCTGGCAACAGTGTTGCCATACTTGTGTTTTCCCCCTCTTTCCTAATTCAGCGACAGCACAAAAGGTAAAAAAGAAAAAATATTTAAAACAAGAAAAAACATCGCTCAACTTTTGTCAATCTTATCAACATTTACCAGGTGGTATATTATACATTCATACGTACATATGTATATATAATAATAATGCTAATTAAATGCTAAATTGTGTACAGGCAAATGCAAGCCACAAAAGCAGCTGACTGAAAACACACACACACATATATGGATATATATTTTGCAAAGGTGCTCACACACACGCACAAAACATCGCATAAGGTGTACGCACGTTTGTGCATGTATGTGTGCACTTTGGGGACGCGTAAACAAAGCGTCGCGCAAAAATTAAATACATACATACACACGCACATACATCGTATTGCATTGGCGCGCGCGCTCGTTGCACTCTCGCACAAAAACAGCAACAACGTACATACATACAAAATTTACCCCGACGCTTGTGACGTGACTTTTGAGCAGCGCTGCTCGTTTTGATCCCAGGTGCGCGTTGTTATTGTGGCTGTGTGTATATGAGTGTGTGCGTGCGTTTTAATGCTTTTTATTTTATTTTTGGGGACACTGATTTTCGAGCATTGGCGTTCAAGTTGAAAGTGCGTACACACATACATACATACAGATACATGTATATACAGACATATGTATGTATATACCGGCGCGTGTGCTACGCATACATTTACACATATGTAGATATGCGTATGCTTATGTGTGAGTGCGATCGTGTTTAATGCGAGCTTGTTGTTGGTATATTGTGTATGTGTTGGTAAACGTTGCGAAGTTTAAACGTTTAAAAATTAGTGCAATTGTCGTTGTATATGGAGGAGTATGGAGCCTGCGAGAGATAGAAGGAGAGGGTAGACTTGACCACCTTCTCTTCTAGTTAGTGTGTGTATATACATGTGTATTATTCGTGTTGGTTTGGTGAAAATGCGCCTACTGCGTAAACAGGTTTACAAATTTTGTTTCTCTCTTAGATATCTTTTATTTAGTGCCGGACGCCGACTAGATTGTTGTTGTGGCGGCTGCAGCAGCTGCCCACGCCACGCGCGCACACACAAACACAGAAGTAGGCACATACGCACATGCATACATACGCTCACACACACACACACGCATACACTCATATGTTTGTCAAAAAAAAACCATGTTTTGATCTTGGCAAAATTTTCTATTTAGTCGCGTAAAAAAGCCATATTAAGTCGTTAAATCTTAATTTACCTCAGCTTCACATATATTCACTTGGTTCCTGGATTTTTCTTTTTTATTGTTATTTATTTCACAACTTACTGAAACATTAACTTTCAGTTAATATTCAAATGATTTTGAATATATTTTATGCATAAAGTGCAAATTGAATTCACGGAGAATAACGAAACGCGTCTGCACGCAAGAAACTCAAAGACAAACTGACAAACCAAAAATACAAAAAAAATGAATAAAATAAAATAAAACCGCTGCGCTGCGTTGCGTTGCGTTCATGTTGCTGCTGTCGACGCCGACGTTGACGCTGACGACGACGCCGCTTTTCAGTCGTCACTTTTTCGTACACATTCGTCGCTGTATCTGTGCGTATCTGTGTGCGTACGCGCGCTTCTATGTGTGCGAGTGCAGCGCAAAATGTACGAAACTGAAACAGCGCTGAGAATATGTAGCACAAAGCAAATGGAGTGATAACAAAACAGTAACAGCGGCAGTCCCAGCAGCTGAGTGCAAAACAAACGCGCTTGTGTACGTGAGAATGCGCGCAGCAAAAGCAACAGCAAAAAATTCCGGTTGTGAAAAAGTACATATATACATAGTATATATATACATATATACATGTATATTTCTATACATGTTAGTACACACACGGTAGATATTGAGATACAGTGCGAGCGAGTGAGAGCAACAATTTGCATAACAAGACGGCGTTGCCACACTGCACAGAACAAGAGGCAAAACATTTTGAAATTTATATATGAATGTGTATTTATTACTGTAGTTGTTCCATGTTGTGGTTGCATATAGTTTGTTATTGTTTGCGTGGCAAGTAAAACACAAATAACGCAAATGAGAACGACAACAATAATGACTGATAAAAAGGCAAAAACGTGTGCGAGAAAAAACTGATAAGCGCCGCTGATTGGTTGTTGCTGCTGTACTTGCGGTTCTTGCTACATTAGTACATACATACATGCATAATTTTAAGGCGCAATTCAAATCAAGCGCCACACACACACGCACGCAACCTTATGCTTACTAGTATATTTATAAACCCCCCTCCACAAGAGTGTAATACGTGACAAACTAGATGTAAGCACAGTTGCACATGTAGAACAAATGTACCAAAGATGGTACAGCATCTAATGGTACAATATAAATGATTACTAAATGCATACATAATTATATTTTTGAGATTATATTTGTTTGAAAATAAACGGTAACATCATTTTTATATAGTTATATATAGTTATTTAAAATTTTATGGCTGCCTTGAGCTCATCTAATTGGAGTTTTCTTTGCGCGTCTAATGTGACCATGTACTTAGAAGTGGCAACTCCGTCAGCTGCTGCTTATAAACTTTACAACACTATCACCAAACAAAGTGCAACAAATTGTTGGCAGGCTGGTTTTGTTATGCTGCGGCGAAAGTGTCTGTAACCGCAGCCGAAAATACATATCGAAAAATAAATAAAAAGGTAGGTGTATATGTTTCCTTGCTGTGTGCTACGTGCCAGTGGCAACGCCAGCCACAAACACAATTCGCCTCCAAAAAGGCCACAATCTAGGTCAACTGCACCCGTTATTGGTTGCTATGGCGCTTGCTCGATTTGCTGTTGTTTTTGTTTGTTTCTCTTTCTTCTTCTTTTTGTTTACAAAGATGCCAATGATGCTGCGCAGCAAGTGGCAAACTACTTGCAAATGCAAGAATGTCAAATACGCATGCAACGGCGTTTGTCAAAATTTAGTACGTTTTCATATTAAGACAACGGCAATTTGCTTATGTACATACACATGCATATGCATGTGTGTCAGTTGATTTTAGCCGTCTCTTCAATCAAATTTTATTGCAAAACAAAATAAAACATTAACTGTACTTGTAGTGAATGGATTGTGCATAGTGAAATAGAGCGGGGAGGGAGGGAGTAATTATGAGCAAAAATTGCAAAAAAATTGCGTGGGTGAGTGCTAAAATCGCAATTTATTAATAGAAATATGCATAATAGTAAGTCAGTTGTTAGTTTATTGTCGCAAATACACACTCACATATAGCACATAATTAACGATGACCTTGTTTTTACTATGGCACGCATGAAAAAATCAACTTTCCTACAAATACGCGTACATATATATATATATATATATATATATATATTGCGTCCGACCGAAAGTGAAAGACAAGCCTGTCTTATTGGAATTCTCGTAAGAATGTGAAAACAGCAACGATACCAATAACAACAACAGAAGGAGCGTAACAGAGAGTAATGCGTGAAACAGGTTGCCGCTAAGCTTTTCGACAAAAAAAACTACGAGCTATATTCGAAATAACGGTACTACAAACACACGCACAGTCAGTGTTCATTCAGTATAAATAAAATGCCAGCGTAATACCCAACAACAACAACAAAACAACCACAACTAAAATAGAAAGTAAAAATCTTTAAAAAAAATGCAACTTTGGGCATTTCGGTTTTGACTTGAATAACTGTTTCTTGACAAACACAAATATATACATACAAGCAAAGATTCATTAGCTTGCCGTAGCCTGCGAGAGGAGAGCGCACCAAAAATGGAAGTAGGTTGCGTGCTCTCTCGCTTACCTGTGTGCTGTGTGCTCATTTTGGCACAGTGAGTGAGTGAGCAACAGCAGTCTGCTTGCTTCAACACATTGCCTGTTAAGTAATAGACCGAATTCTGTTCATGTATGTATGCGTAAAGTGCGCGTGTGTCTGTATGTAAGTGGCAACCACTAAACATATATGTGTGTGTGCATACAGAGAAAGCGCGCGCAAAAAGATTTACTAATTTAAAAAAAACCAAGTATTAAATGATATGACAGCGGTAGTTAATGTATAAATTTTGCTCAGCTTTTTCGTAGTTCACACACAGGCAGTTACATACGTATGTATTTCCGCACATTTGTGGATTGTTGTGAACGAGGTTAAGTTGCCGCTGCCATTGAAAGAGTTCATTGTTGGGTTTGCGGCCGCCGTTTCGTTTGATTAGCAAATCGAAGGTCAACAACTAATTGGTATAAGCTTTATCTACGCATTTGGAACAGACACACACAAACACTAACGAACATTCATGCTTACACGCATTTGTATGGAAGTGTACATATGTTCTATCTTTGCGCTTTATGTTTAACCTTCGCTGTAATGCATTTTCGTTTGCTTTATTTTGAATGTTTGGGTTGCAGACGTACCATACGCTCACACACACACACGCATACACGTGCACTCATATAAGAATAAATGTACCTTAATTACTCATTGTTTGCTTGTTCCTTACCGTGGTGTTCGTTTTGCACTATTATTGACAGCTTTAAACGCTGCCAATATATTGTTGATTTCGTTAAAGTGTTCTTTGAATATTTTATGCACTGCACTCATTCAGTTTGCACTTGCTAATTGATGTCTTGTTTAAGCACAATACCGCTGCCTTGGACACCGCAAAATTTCACACTATATTTCTATCGATAGCCAACCACTACCCGATAATATCGATAGCAAGTACATTTGGCGGCAAGACGCCAGATGCAAGTACTCGATGTAAACTATTGCCAGATCAATTCGCAAACGTCTTAATTTCGAAGAGGCACTAAATGTTTATCTATATGCCTACTTTGAAATTTTTAATATCAGCACTTGAAAAATAAATTTGGTTCCCTTTTGCATGCAATTATTTTTTTGTGTGTAGTTTTTAATTAAATAAAGAAAGTTCTTTTTAGAAATATATCAATGTTTGACGTGTCAGCTATATCGATTTAACAATAGCTTGTACACTGAATTAATCTACTCGATATACGTCGTTATGTTATTCACATCCCTATTTGCCGGCAAACACAATACCGAGCGGCAATTGGAACCGCGGTTATTTGCAAACAAGTGACAGCAGCCGCATTAATGAGGCTCGTGAAGCCTGGTTGGGTGCATCACGATGGTAAGGAACAGTTCATGCAGCCAGTCACGTAATTACATTTTTATTTACTTGTAGATAAACCCATCTTCTCAGTGGATGTGCACCAGGATTGTACGAAATTTGCGACCGGCGGCCAGGGCAATGATTCGGGACGCGTTGTCATTTGGAATCTGAAGCCGGTGCTCTCCGAAAAGGATGAGAATGACGCCTCAGTGCCCCGCATGCTCTGCCAAATGGATCAGCACTTGGCATGCGTCAATTGTGTGCGCTGGTCGCAAAATGGACAGCTTCTTGCCTCCGGATCCGATGATAAGTTGATCATGATTTGGCGCAAGGCTCAAGGAGCGAGTGGTGTCTTTGGCACCGGTGGCATGCAACAGAATCACGAGTCTTGGAAGTGCATACACACATTGCGCGGTCATGATGGCGACGTTCTCGACTTGGCCTGGTCGCCTAATGATTACTTTTTGGCTAGTTGCAGCATAGACAACACCATCATTGTCTGGGATGCTCGAGCGCTGCCCAACATGTTGCAAACACTGAAAGGGCATACGGGTTTGGTTAAGGGCGTGGCCTGGGATCCGGTGGGCAATTTTTTGGCCTCGCAGTCAGACGATCGCAGCATCAAGATTTGGCGCACCATGGACTGGTCGTGCGGGACAACGATTACGGAGCCGTTTCAGGAATGCGGCGGCACCACACACATCTTGCGCCTCTCCTGGTCACCCGACGGCCAGTATCTGGTCTCCGCGCATGCTATGAACGGGGGTGGACCAACCGCGCAAATAGTCGAACGCGAAGGCTGGAAATGCGACAAAGATTTTGTGGGTCATCGCAAGGCGGTGACCTGCGTACGCTTCCACAATTCCATACTCACGCGCTACATGGCCGGCGATAGTCCCAGTAAAGCGATGCAGTACTGCGTCCTAGCCGTGGGCTCCAGGGATCGCTCACTGTCCGTGTGGATGACGGCGTTGCAGCGTCCCATGATTGTCATCCACGAACTGTTCAATGACAGCGTGCTGGACATGTCCTGGGGTCCACAGCAGTGTCTGCTGATGGCCTGCAGCGGCGACGGCACCATCGCCTGCCTACAGTTCAACGAGGAGGAGTTGGGCACACGCGTCTCCGAGGTGGAAAAGAAGGCCATCTTCAAGCGCAAATACGGCGGCTGCATCGAGGACAACTATGCCATCAAGCAGCAGGCACGCTGCCTGCCCGAGCTCACCTCCTATGACCTGCCCAATGCAGCCATGGAGCGGCGCCTGCCTGTCCAGCAGGCGGGCCAAGCGGGTGCAGCGTCGCCAGCGCGTGCCATCAGCAAACAGACAGAGACGCGCACCAAAGATGGCAAGCGACGCATTACGCCCATGTTTATACCGCTCAACGATCTCTCGGAGCCAATTTCAAGCATGGGCAGCAGCAGCATCTCCAGCGGCGGCAACAGCAGCAACGTCTACCATAGCAATAGGTGGGCAGCGTCTAGTATTATAGTGCGGCTAGAGGGGATTGCTGATGAGAGTAGCTGACAAGGATCAGGCGATTGGGCTGACCTGTAGACAGAGTGAGACACGTGGCCACTGCATAGGAGTCTCTGCATAGAGTGCAGAACTCGAACGAGCCTAGCTACTCCATCGATCAATAGCCCAATTCTCTGCACACTCTATCAAGCGCTTTATGCTTATCAACTAATCTAGGCTCTGTCCTCTGTCCTCTACTTGCAGCAACAACAATAGCACCAATCAGAACAGCAACGGCGTGGAGCCACTGATGCCAGAGCCGTTGTTCACGCGGCCGGAACCGGTGGGACGCCTGATGTTGCCGCCGGCGCCAGCGGCGACAGCAGCGATTGCACCGCGCCGAAATTCGATGCAGTTGCTCTGCGATTTGAATAGCAGCAACACGCACGGACCGAAGATGCAAATTACAGCGAATAGCAAGTGTGAATTCACCAAATCCGCGCAAGACTATCGCGTCCATGTGCAGAACGGGCATCTGAAGACGGGCTATGGCATGGTCGCTAAGGTGACGGCGCAGCTCAGCCGTGAACAGCTCTGGGAGATGTATGTCGGCTCGCCCGTGATCAATGTGAATCTGTGTAGCAAATATGTGATGCTCTGCTCGCTCGATGGCAGCATGCGGCTGTTGGCCATGCCAACCGGCTGCCCCATCTTTCCAGCCATCTCATTGAATAGCCCGGCCGTGCACTGCGCCTTCAGTCCGGACAATCAGATGGTCGGTGTGCTCACCGAGTGTGGCCTGCTGCGGATCTGGCACATTCCCAAGCGACGCATTCGACTAGCCACCAACTGCCTGGAGCTGCTGGCCAAGCATGGCATGGCGCTGCAGTTCGCCATTACGGATCAGGGCATGCCGCTGATTGGGTTTCCCAGCGGCAACTCCTACTCGTATTCCACGAATCTGAAGTCCTGGCTGGTGTTGGCCACTGGCGATGCCATCATGTTCAACGGCATCCGTGGCTCACTGCCGCGCGATCTGGAGCACGTGAATCGCAAGTTCCCGCTGCTCAGCATGCAGGCCAGCACACAGAACTATCTCAGCCTGCGCGGACCCGTCGAAATGTGAGCTTTGTGAATTAATAACTGTTCCATAACTAATCACAATTACACTTTAGTGATCCGGAGAGCTGGCAGCAAACGGCCAAGGTGCTGTTCCTTGAGAATCAAATAAAGCTCTGCGAGGCCATGGAGGCGATCGAGGAACTGAAGCATTGGCACGCCATGCTCACCTTCCAGCTGGCCACCTACGGCACCGAGAAGCGTTTGCGACTCTTCTTGGATGGCCTGCTCAATACGGAGCAGGAGGCAACGCAGGTATATAGCTTTATAAGGAATGGTTGCTTCAAGAGCTGACTTGAGTTGAGCTGCTTGAATAGAGTTGAGCAAAGCATTTCGGATTCTTCTTTTGAATTAAGTAAAAGCACAGCTTAAAGCAGCTTTTGATAACGCTTTTTAAACTCAGCTTAAGGCGAGCTGTTGACATTTGTAGAATCGTTTGCTGAGCTGAGTTTCTGTACAAGTTGATTAAATTAAGTCGTGGGAAGGTTTTGCAGAAGAGGTTAAGCTCTTGTAAGCCTTGGCGCTCGTCTGAAACAAGTTGTGTAAAAGCTAATTGTTTTTCTGCATTTGACTTAATTGAGTTCTTAAAGCTGCTTCGGGCTTTATGCAGCTTAGGCAGATCTTGAAGACAAAAGCTGCTTTAAGTTAAGTTAAAGTAAGCTGCTTATATCAAGCCGAGACTAGGCTTTGCAAATGTTGCTTTTACTTGGTTAACTTTTGGATGAAAGTTGCTTTAATTAATGAGCTTTTAAGCTAAGCTTTTTAGCTCTTGCCAGGCCTTAAGCTGCCTTTTCTTGCAGCTTAGCTCACTCGAAGCTTCTCAATCTTTTTGTCTTAGAGAATTCTTGCCAGGCTCTCGAAACATCTCAATCGATTCAATCTAATTCGCTGTCAATTTCTCTGCCCGCAGTGTGCGCCCAAGCACGAGCTGATGCAGTGCGTGCTGGAATCACTGAAGCCGCACACCCAATGGGAGCACATCTACAACGAATACCTGGAGGTTTACAAGCTGAACGAGGAGAATTTTGTGATCGATGCGCCGGCGCCGCAATCTTCCTCAACGCTCACCTATCCGCTACCCTCGTCGCCGTGTACACGCACCCGTGGCGCAGCCGCTGCGGCGGCTGCCATCGAAAAGCTGCTCACAGCGGAGCCATCGTCACCGCCACCGCCACCGACGCCGCCTGTGCGTCCTGGCTCGGATCGCAAGAGCGTCGAGCCGGATGGCTGTGACACGGAATCATCATCGTCCTCGCAACCGGCATCGTCCTCAACGCCAGAGCCGACGATCGTCGATCTTGAAACGGACAAGAACTGAGATGTCAATGCGAACATCCCATCTACGATGTACCGTTCTCTTTTTTATACATCAATTTTATTGTTTTTTTATTTTTGTTTTGGTCGCCCGCTGATATTCCATACACAGATACTGTCAACTAGTTGTAAGCGTTCTTTGCGAAAGTCTTGAATATAATAGTCTCTATTTTAATAAGCATTTGAACTTGATCTTTCTATTCTCCCTAGATCCAGTTTCAGACTGGTTCCTGGAGTTGCCTCAAATTCTCAATCAAGATTGTGGGCCGAAACCGAACCTAGAAATCTAGGCCTCATTCTTGGAGCCCCAAAGCTAGCTTTAGTTGGAATAGTTCAGACTCTACGCTGGTCATCAATCAATCAATCATTAACAAGGGGATATGATTCCGTCTCATGTCGAACCAACTAATCACAAAGCAGTGGCTTGCTAGCTCTAACGACTTGGGCTGTATACTAATCATCAATCAGTCAATCAATCAATCAAGCCATCAATAAGAAGCTGCAAAGTATTAGCCAAGGCCTTGTCTTGCATCGTTGGCTTGAAACTTCAGCTGTGCGGCATCCATCAGTCAGTGTTGCATCAATCAGTAAGTCAATCAATCAATCAAAAGAATATGAAGAATGATGCACAAGCGAGTCTTACAGCAATAAAGCTATTCCTAAAGGTGCTTCTGCCAGGTTGATCATCAATCAGTCAATCAATCAATCAATCAGTAAATAAAATTCGCTCTATATATGGCTAGATAGACACCAACACGTACATTTATTCATATATTTATAGACACTTATAAAAATTTCAATTGTATTGAAGTAGATGTAGTCAAAATGCATATATATACTATATATCCGGATATATAGACGTATATATATATATAAGAGTGTGTATATAAGTATGTGTTTCAAGCTTATGTTAAGGTAGAGTTTCTTATATAGACATCAGATACATAAAAATTGTGTAAAACATCTAAAAACTTGAGTGGTTTCACTCTAATATATTTGAGGTTATGTTATGTTCCATATATAGGAGATCTTATGGTCGAGTATTTTATGTCTAAAAGTTGTCGCTGTATGATTAAAATAGTATCAGAATGTATATGTGTATATATATGTATAATATATATATTTATATATATATGTATATTTATGTTTGAGGTTATGTTTGTATTTATTATAGGATATGTTATAGTTTATCAATTTAATTTAATTTAAGTTAAGTTTATTTGAGCTTAAATGACTTAGATGCTTAAGAGTTGTTAGCACATATTTAGTATATAGTATATTTAGTATACTTACTAAATATGAACATTTCCAGGCAGAGTTTTGGAACCATTTGATGAGATCATTTATGATCTCAAACAGATTTGAATAAGTTAATTGAGGAGGAATGATAAACTGAATTCTTATATCTTATGGTTAGTATAGAATACATATTTATATATATTCCTGGCAAGTCCAGAGCTAAAAATATGTATATTGGCTGTGTATTTATGGACATTTAGTTGATTATTCAAATACATGTAGAGCTTGTGGCATATATAGACATTCAGTAGCTTTTAGACATTTCAAATCGGCTATATATAGACACTGTTAGGGTTATCTTCATAGACAATTAGTTGATTATGTAAAGGGATACAAATATGTTTCAAATGGACAGTTTTTGATTAAATATAAATAGACATTTGGTGGGTTATCTTATAGACATTGAAAAGTTGTTAAGTATTGCATATATTGATATCCATACAGATATCGATATATATATATATATATATAGTTATATAAATATGAAAACAGAATCGTTGGCTTATAGCTATTTACAGAGCTTAAGATATATATATATATGAATATGGTATATGCTATATGGCGAGCAATATCTGAAGGTTTAGATACTTCTATGGTAGCTTCTATATAGACACATATAACTAAAACGGAGCTTTGGCTAACAAGCTTCTATCGTATATAGACACATAAAAAAAAATCTTGCTTGGTTTTGGGTTAGATTGAGTTAAGATATACGTTTATAGTGCTGACTAGGCCAATCGATTTAGCCAAACGATGAAGTGGAAGCAGCTGGTGAGGCAGCAGCAGCAGCAGCTGCTGCTGCTAATGCCTCCTGCTATTGGGGACTGTAGTGCGGCCCAGGAGTGGACATATTCTTCAAGGGCGAATCGAATTCAGTTGCTGCTGCAGCAGCAGCTCCTGCTGCACCTATTACTCCTGGCTGTGCTGTTGGGACTACGCCAGTTGCTGCTGCTGTTGTTGCTGCAGCAGCGCCAGTGCCAACTGCAGTTGCAGCTGCAGCTGCTCCGTCTGCAGCGGCAGCTGCCTCCGGCGGCTGCAGCGGCGCTGTGAGCACTGAGCCAATGCGCTCCTGCAGCGATTCGTAGAGCTTGTGAATGTGCTCGTTGTGCGCCGTGGTCGGCTGCATGGCCTTCATTAGCGTCGCTAAGCGGCCAGCTGGCAGCTTGTTGTGGACATACCACAGCAGCTTCAACATGTGCCGCGACGTCACATTCTCGCGGTTTAGGCCGGCGAAGATGAATTCATCGAAGAGCGTGGTGCAAAAGTCTTCGGTGCCGAACTCGTCGCTCATGGGTATTAGCAGCGCGATCAATGAATGCAAAAAGGGATCCTCATAGGCGCGATCGTCCTTGCACACAGAGAGTATGGCCAGCACGCGAAGCACGCCCACTCGGTCCTTGATCCGAGCCGAGTGAAGTGTATAATACATAGCCAGAATGCTTGAGACCGAGCTCTCCTGAATGTAGGCCTCGACAGCGTCTGGGGCCGGTCCCGAATGCTCGATGGTGGTCAAAGCGGATTCGCGCTCATCGGGCGGCAACTTGCCGTGCAGATTGCGACACTGATCATCGACCATGAGTGACATGAGAGCAGGCAGGAACTTGGTCACCACCTGGCAGTCAAGTTTGGGCTCCTTAAAGTCCTGCGAATCGATCATCACCCAAGCACTGAGACCGAGTGCCAGCATGCGCAGCAATAGAATCAATATCGGATTATCCCTGGGCATGCCCTCGTTGTTGATCAGATGCTGAAGTATCTTAATCACCGAAGTGGCCAAAAAGTTAATGGCATACGGATCGCACAGAGTCATGGATAGATCGCCCAGCACCTGCTCCTGGCCACGCTTGATGTTGTCGAGGAAGCCCTGCAGTTCACGCGAACGTTTAATATCCACATTCTTCTCTCTGATGCAGGCATCTAGACACCAGGTGAACTTGTGGCAGGGATCTATCGAGATAATCTCCTGCACCTCCAGATCGTGCAGCGCCATTAGCAGCTCTGCGCGCAGCGTACAATAGTGCACGTTGCGTGTGCGCAAGAAGAGAGTGCGCAGAAACTGTAATACCATATCGTAGAGCTTGACACTGGTGCCGATCATGTTGGCCAGCTTCTGGACCACCTCGCCCTGCCGTCGCACCTTTGGTGTGGGTTGAAAGAACAAATTGTTGAGATTTGTATGATCAAAGAGAATATGCTCCTTCTCGCGTATATACTGCGACAACAGCGGTGACACTTCGTCGCCAAACAACGACTGGTTGTCGCGCCAAATTTGACGCTTCACCTCGGTGTCTGTATCTGCATAAAGCTCTCGATCCCGCACCAAGATTCGTAAATACTTGTCATCGATGTGTTGGGTGTTGCGCAAGATGGCCATGACGACCGGTCGCAGCGATTTGACACGCACAACGGGAAAGCTCTTGACGAGCAGCTCCTTGAGCTTCTTGTCACGTTCGCGTGGCTCTTTCTGGCCAAGATCGTTAATATGAGCGATCAGCTTATCGCGCAGCTCCTCCATGAGCGAGGTGTGAAAGTCTAAGCGCCGCACGCCATGCAAATCTAATAGCGGCAGCATAGGACGCAATGACGGTAACAGTACGCCATTCTCCAACTGCCAATAATAATAGATATTCAATAAAATATAAGTTCGCGCCCTTTTTTTTATCTGAGGTAAACAAACCTGAAAACTTTCGATGGCCTTAAGAGGATCGGTGCAAGAAGTGAGCGCCTCGCGCAGGAACGCTTGACCGGGTATATTAACATCCTCCAAGCCAGTGCCATTGTTTTTGGTGGGCGTACTCATTTTCACTCAACAATTATGAAAATTGTGGAAAAAACTGTATGCACCCAAAATGGCAAAGCAAAATGCAGAGATAAAATTAGTGGTGGTAAATTGAGTTTGCACACAAATGCATCGATTAGCGTTGCAGCGATGTTTCTTACTCAAGGCGGGCGATAATACGCTGCTTGCAGTCACTAGCTACTGCATAAGAGCTAGTTAGTGATGACAAATTGAGCTTGCACATAAATGCAAAGCGATTAGCGCTGCTACAATATATTATCGATGGCCCATAGCTGGTGACTAGTTGGCACAGAAATGCATCGATTACCGCTGCAACGATATTTGTTCCGTAAGATTCATGATGCGATAAGTGCTATACTCACGATAGTATTTCGGGATGAGTGCTGGTAATATTCCGCTAAGCACTCTGGCAACGCTAACCGCTTTTATTGGTCCCAGCATACACAAACACTGTACGGCAACGCTGTTGAGTAGCCCAAAAAAATTTCTATCCAAAATTTTTGTTTTTTTCTGCGTAATTAAACATGGCCAATTCGTGGCTACCAAAACAGTGCGTGTCATAGACGTGTGTGCATTAAATGTTAAATTGTGTGTGCTTTTTGGCTGGCCTGGAGCACACGTACGAGCACGCCAACTGTCTTGGCAAGCCAGACCATTTAGCAATTGAACACACAGAGAGAGAGGAAACTGACACCGAAATTTAATAATAAACGCAATAACACACAAAAGGTGTAAACAATAACAATTGCCTGTGACTTCCCTGCGCACAGCTGTCGGCTAAATCGTACAGGAACAGCAGCAACAAGCTAATACATATATATATATATATATATATATATATATACATATACACATATACAGTGACACACACCCACACATACTCGTTGGCACACGTACGCGCACACATACACACAGGCAGCATGTCGGAGCGCAAGCGTTATCACAAGGACAATGCGCCCACGGATGATATTATCACACTTATCAATCTGGTGCGACAGAATCCAGCGCTATACAATTATAAGCTGCAGCCGAATCAAAGACGACGCCCGGACATATTAAGTGGCTGGCAGGAGGTATCCCAGCAAATGGGCAGTGAGTAGTAGTTGGCTGCGATCACATACACACAAATATATATAACTATATATATAATATATATATATATATGCATATACTATATATGTATACAGATATCTAATTGAACAAATTTTGCAGACAAGTATAGCGTGCAGGAGGTGCGGCGCAAGTGGAAAAACCTAAGGGATACGTATCATCAATATCGTCGACGTTCGCCCAAATGCATCGAGGGACGTTTATCCAAATGGCGCTACGCTAAGCAGCTGGATTTCCTATCGAAGGTTTACCAGCCAAAGTTGAAGGCGCATCGCGATGCGCTGGCCGCTCTGGTGCAAATAAAAAAGCAGCCTGACGATGAGGATGACGACGAAGATGAGGATGGTGTTGTTGATGGTGGTGTTGGTGGCGTCGAGCATGACCATGATGTTGAGCATGATATTATCGATGAAGATGGGCATTCGGATACAACGGCCCTGTCCTCCTCACAGATAACGCTCGTCAGCGACGAGACCGAGGCGTTCATAATGACCGCCTATGAGGAGAGCGTGGCCGATGATACGGTGCATCATCATCATCATGCGCACAGGATGGCCATGACACAGCAGCACCATCATCAGCAGCAGCAGCAGCATCATCAGCATCACCATCACCAACAGCAGCAGCACCAGCAGCAGCATCATCATCAGCAGCATCATCAGCATCACCATCATCATCATCACCAGCAGCAGCACGATGGCAGCATTTCCAGCATTGAATTATCACAAATCACCCACGACGACGAAGACGTCGTCGATGATGAGCTGGACGATGATGACGATGTGGTCGATCATGACGGACAGGTGGTAGACATTGTTAAGCATGAGCTAGACGAGGATGGCGCCACAGCTGCTGAGGTCGATTATGAGGAGGTCTGCCTGTATGAGGAGGCCAGCGGCACACATTGCGAATTGGGCGTCGATGGTAGCAGCGATGTGGTCGATAGCAAGGGCTTTCATTACATTGATGCCGATGAGTTTTGCATAGAGGATATCGAAACGGAGCCAGAGACACGCACCACTGTTACCGTGCCACTGCGTGCCACAACACATCACGCTCACGCCCACACCCACACACATACACATCAGCAACATTCTCATCATTTGGTCAGCAGCGCCACGGCTACGAATAGCGTTCTGGCTGGCAACGGCAGCGTCATCACAGCCGATACCAAGCTCAAGAATCTCACACTAGTGACGACCACGGCGGCAGCGGCATCGACATCAGCATCAGCAGCGGGCAGCCAACGCTGCCACGAAGCAGGCAGCACCCAGCAAATAGCTCTGGTCGACGTTACCGAGGCGACGAGCACCAGTGTCACCATATCCAGTACGCCTGCTGTGGCGCTGAATGCCACCACGGTGAGCACCACGCTGCCGGCTGCCGCGGGAGGAGCAGCAGCGGTGCAGCCACAACCAGGAACAGCTACAGCTGCTGCAGCAGCCGCGGCGGCAGCAGCAGCTGCCACACTGTGCAATACATCAACAAATACGCCATACACTGGAGCAACGACCATACTGCAGCTGCCGACTCTCAGCTGTGCTGGCAATCAGAATAACGTCGTTGGCGGCTCCTCGTCCATCAGCGTGGCCGCCTCGAGCAGTACGCTGATCAAGGACGAGGAGCAGCAGCAGTTTGCGCAGGCGCTGATCAAGCGCGACGAGCTCGATTTGTTTTTCGATTTTCTCAAAAAGAAAATGCAATACTTTAGCAAAACGCAAATTACGCACATTCAAATGGAATTCCTCAACTGCGTCAGCAGGCAGGAGGTGGCCGAGCAGGATGCCAAGGATTAGCTGCATATACATTCATATATATAAACAAACCTTTATATATATATAAATATATATATGCATGTTTTAGAATTTTTTAGTAGTTTCTCTAGCCAAACAAAAAACAAAAGCGAAATCAAAAAAAAAAAAATAATGAAAACAAAAATTCGCCTGCCCCCAGCCCAGTTGAACTTCTATTTTGTTCTTTTGTAAGTGTTTGTCTATAGCTTTAGCCTCGCTTTAACTTCCACATACTATATACACATATATATGCATATATGCATATATGTATATCTGTATAATCGTGTGTTTTAACGTAAATTTCCCAAAAACAATTTAAATATAAACAACTTAGCCTGTACGACCTTCAAGTGTAATGAATATAATTGTAAAATAAACTAATCGATTCTCGAAAAAAAAAATACAAAAAAAGAAAAGAAAAACAATTCAAATTATAAACATATAAACAAACAACGCGATATTCATTTACCTCTGCCTTTTCGATCAAATTGCAGCCCCATCTCTGTCTCTCTCTCCTTCCATCTCTTTCACGCTCAAAGCTAACTTCCATTTCCCACGCACGACTTAACAGCGCTCGCTACTGTTAATAACTCACGCGCCACTGTAACTTAACATAAGCTCAATATGCGAAAGCGGCGAAGGAGTTACATGCGGAAAATCGGTTTTTACTGCCATTGGGAAAGATTTTAGAGGGCATAAGCTACATATATTCATGATCTATATGAATACCGGAATTGATATTGCTATGCGCATCAGTCGGATTGCCAACCAGTTTAACAGTTTCTTACGCTGCTATGGGTAAATAGCTCCAGTTGTATAGTGTGCGTATCACATTATCCCTGTATACCTGTGGAATCGAACTACTTTTCACTCTTACAACATAACTACAGTCACATTCACTTATGCAATACAATTTATTTAAATTACATATTTGAACTAGAAAAAGTTTTTGCAATTGAAGACTATTTCGTTTAAGGGTTATTAGCTCTGCAATTTTTATTGGCATTAGGCCGGCACTTGGCGAAGGTCCTGGCACATATGCGCAAATAACAACAACAACAACAACAATATGTTTAGTTGGGCGAGAGAATTGAAAAATATATGCTGGCAAAAAACCAAACTTAAACGAGAAACAAACTTAAAGGGCTACAAGAATAACGACTGCTGGCCATATAAATAGAGACATTAACAGTATTCATAGAAGCCAATGACTCAATGGGATGGGGCGCAGCTAAAGGTAAAGCTAAAGCTAAAGCTTCGACTGGCTGATTAGTAGCTCACGCCGCTGGCGGCTGTTTAGTGGTTGTTAGCGACTCGCCCTTGAGCTTGGCAATGTGCTCCGAGTTGAAGAAGATAACGGTTATGGTTATATCGTCCCTATACAGACGCACCACATCCTGTGGCAGCGACAAATAATACGAGATCTTCGAGTGCTCAATGCCATAGTCCGTGGCGCCCAGCGCATGGCGTATCAAATGCGTCGCAGCATTCTGATCAATGGGCTTCCGAGTCAGACCCGCTCTACAGGAAAGAGGAATTGAAATTAGAGAAATTTAAATGGTGGAGATAAGATGACTATATTATTTACTTGCGCTCCGCCAATTGCTCGGAGATTTGCTGCAGCTTGACATCGCCAGGCGGTAGTCGCATCGGCTCCAATATCTTCTTCGAGTTGATGTGCTCGCCCACAAGGCTGACCACTTCGCTGGGCGTTAAAAAGTCCCATAGGCCATCGCTGGCAATGACTAGAAACTTGTCGTTCGAGGACAGCTCGTGCTGTTGCACATCGGGCCGGGCGGTCAGGTACGGTGGCGTATAATAATTAGGCGGCAACACCTGTTCGCCAAACATGGGCACCACCTTCTCCTGCAGCGTCTCCAATGGCCATTTGTAGCGAAAATCGCCAAAGGCGCGCAATGGCGCCAGCTGGCTGAGCAGTCGTCCGTTGCGTATCACCGTTTCACGTTCCTCACGCGGATGCTCGCCCAGAATCCGGCTCACCTCCTGCATGTTCTCCACATTGTGCTCAATGTTGAGCTTCTTGGGATGCCACTGATTAGTCTCTGGATCGAGCACGCCCAGCACGGCGCCGCAGTCGCCAGTGCTAGCCACATGCAGCTGCAGACCCTCCAAGTGAACCAAACAGGCAACGGCACCTGCAACGAAATGTCAGCTTTTCCTTACATCACTTACAATGTCTGTCACTTACCAGACAGCGCAACGCCCATTGTGCGCACATCGTTGGTGCTCAGCGCCTCCTCAGACAAGTCGGTATCCAGCTGGACGAACGCCTGTTCCAGCTCTTTAGCCACATCCCGCGGCGGCTCGCTGCTCAGTCGCTTAATATAACGCTGAAAGCTCTGCTCATACATGGGCCGAATCTCACTAACAAAATCCACTTTGTCGTTGTGACACTTGAGAAAGGATTGGCTGGTGCAATTTTGTTTCATTTGCTCGCGCAGCACTTGGCGCGGCAGTGTGGCAGCAGATATGTAACGCAGGAGCCTCTTCGATACAACCTGTCCGCAGGCAGCGCCCGCATGTCCGTCAAAGATCCCGCAGATGAAGCCGTTTCGATACATGAGACTTGCCTCGGTTCGAGAATCTTCGCAGGGAGAATTGGAGCCGAGCTGATTTGTTTCATAGCTGCGTATGACGCCGTCCAGCGGGAAGTTGTAAACGAACTCGTGCTCTTTTAAAGTAATATTTACCTAAAAGCGAAACAGCAACAATTGGCAAAATATTGATCGATAACTCCACAGATCGATACTTACATCGTAGGGGCTTAATTGTGGCAACTGTGGCAGCAGCCGTAGCGCATTGAGACTGAATTCACGCACATTGCTGCGCACATAGCCAACGGCGTCGTGCACCACAAATTTTAACATCTATGTGTTATATATATATTTATATATATATATATATATATATTAGTTTGTTCGATAACCTTAGGCGCACACGTTGATCGGGCGTATGGAACAGTTAACAGTTAACAGCTGCTCCTAATTTTCATGCGCCGTTGCGCGTTCTTTGTCAAATGTATTGGCGCGAATGTGGCTCGGTATTGGTTCCCGTCTGTTATTGTACATTTGTGCAATGCCAAAGAAAACAATATAAAAATAAAGCCGAAATAAAACGGACTAATGTCAAATATGACAGTTAGTGATGACAGCTATAACAACTGAGCATATATCGATAGATCATAAACATTTAGTTATTACTTCATTTTCAGTGTTAAGAAGCAATTTGACTTGCGGTGAGTTTCAGTGGCTTAAAATTAAGTTCTTTAATTCATATATATTCATTTAACATGATTGTACAGAATCGAAAGCTAATTTGAACCAAACTTAAATTGGTGCTAGATTTAAATTTTCTTTGGCGCTGCCACTTTGCATATGAGTACTTCTTTGCGCATTGTACTCGTTTGCCAGCCCTGAAACCAGCCCACGCACACACACATACACATGCAATTGATGTGCGTTAGAAAAAAAAACAAACAAAACTGAGCAGCTGAGTTACTTAAATTCAATAAACAATATAATTGCTGTTTATTTAAAGAATATTGCTCGTTCAAATCGTAAGGAAAACAACTGTAATTAGTCGGCTGCAATTGTGGGCGCATTTGGAAACAGCGTCTCTAACTGAAAAAGGACGTGAAACGAATTTGCGTTTAAAACGCAAAATATCAACAAACGAGAGGGGTAAACGGGGACAACAACAGCAACAGCAACAGCAACAAATAACTGTAACGCACTCAACTACTGTAGAGGAGTGGGGTGTGGATCAACACAATGGTGGAGCCTATCTTTGATTATCAATTCCGTTTAATTCTCATTGGCGACAGCACAGTGGGCAAAAGTTCACTGTTAAAATTCTTTACAGATGGAAAATTTGCCGAGGTAAGTGACTAAATCTTAAGTTCCATATGTGTGTCAAGTTTGTGTGCAAAAATAATAATTACATAATTAAATGGCTAATTTAGTAACAAAAAAAATATAATAAAGACAAAGACTACGATGCTATGTCGCAGCCGCTGTCTACACGTGTGTATGTGTGTGTGAGTAACTGATAATGCATGCAAAAAATAAGGAAAAAAAAAAACAAAGTGTGGCAACCTTGGACTGTGCGCATTATATTTGACTCTTTTTTTAATTCATACTTGAAGCCTGTCCCACATTAATCTTTTGTTTTGAATTCTTTTGCGCAGCTGTCGGATCCCACAGTGGGCGTTGACTTCTTTGCACGCCTCATCGAGATGAAGGACGGCACACAGATCAAACTGCAGCTGTGGGATACAGCTGGACAGGAGCGCTTCCGTTCCATAACCAAATCCTATTATCGCAACTCGGTTGGCGTGCTGCTCGTTTACGATATCTCGAATCATGCCAGCTTCGAGCACATACCGCTCTGGATGATGGAGGCGCAGCGTCACATCGAGCCGCATCGTCCCGTCTTTGCGCTCGTCGGCTGCAAACTGGATCTGGTGAATGCGGGCGGGCATCGCGAAGTAACCACCGAGGAGGCGCAAACGTTTGCCAAACAGCATGGGTTGCATTTTGTGGAGACGTCGGCGCGCACCGGTGCCAATGTCGAGGAGGCATTTCGCATGGTCACACAGGAGGTCTATGCCCGCATACGATCTGGCGAATACAAGGCCGAAGATGGCTGGGATGGCATCAAATCCGGCTTTGCGCGGCCAAACAGTCTAGACTTCAATCTAGTTATGGCTGAGCCAGAGAAATCGTCCTGCTGTTGATTCAACTTTAAACTCTTAATTTGTTTTGTTTTTGTTTCGAGTTTCCACTCATATACGTATATATTTACATACACATAGACTATATATACATTTTTTTTAATTTACATTTATATTTGAATTTTTAATGGAACGCGTATTATGTCAACTATCTTTGTCATATGGCGATCTGTAACATTTTTGTTAACTTGTTTTTAATAGCGCACCAAAAAAAAAAAAAGGAAAAAAAGTTAAACAGTAATCAAAATATGAAAATGCAGACATATTTTACACTGTATATGTATTGCATCTACTTTTTAGTTATGTTTTTAAGTTAATTCAAATAGTTTTATAATCGTCAATTCGGCCAATTAGATAATTCATGGTTTAAGAAAAATTATGTTTTTGCCTTTTAGCCCAAAAACTAAATCGAATGGAAGAAAAAACAGCCAATTGTCGCCCACAAAACTCCTCTCTGATTACAAACAAAACAAAGAACTTTTTCAGCTTTATACGTAGCAGAGTTTTGTGCTCTACTAATTAACTTATACAAATTGAAATTGAAAATATAAACGTTTTTATTGATTAAATGTAAAATTTGCAATTTTCTTCATAATTTGCTCGAATTAAAAAAACTGGCGCCTAAATGTGCGCAATCTGGCAATATTTTGCACAGACCAGCTGCAGAGAGTGGCAGCACAGCTGTTAACGCACAACATGGAGTACTTTATATTTGGCGATACTTGAGCGATACTTGTGCATTGTATTTTATATAAGAATATATATTTGATAAATAAAAACGATATGTTTCATAAAACACTGCTTGTAACCAGTGTACAATTCAAAGTTAAACAACGATGCCTGTGAATAGCATGTATTTATTTAGTATTCAAATCGCTGTCAGTTTAGCTATCGATACACACATGCCTATCGAATTTGCTGTCAAAAAAAACAGTCTTTTTTTTTGTAGTGTGTCTAACACACAGATACTCCAGATTAGCGCGTGCCACTTTTAATTTCGACGGCCACACACAAAACAAAAAAATAAAAATAATACACACACACAGAAAAACAACTTAACTGACAACATACAAAATGGGTAACGTGCTTGCGGCCTCATCCGGCGTCGATGCAGCAACGGCGCGCAGTAACAGTGTGGCAGCCAGTTTGGGTTTGCCGGAACCATCGGCAATTGCATCCACAGAGCAATCAGCGCCATCGATTTCCGACGCGAACGATGCTTTTGGCAAGGACAATCAATTGGAGAATCCGGGCACCGTTGAGGAATTGCATAAAAAGTGCAAAGGTAGGCAAATGTCATTCAAAAATTGATACAAAAAAAAGAAAAGAAATTGGTTTCACTGATGACATAACCTACAAGCATGTGAAAGGGGGGGTCGGTCGAACGTCCATGTGTGTATGTGTGCTTGTGCGTGCATGCGTATGTGTGCGTATGCCTGCTGATTATGTATTATCAGTGCATGTACATATATGTATATTATAAATATGTATTATATATATATATATATATGTATGTGTGTGTGTATGTAACTTCTATCAATATGGTTGGGAATTGCAATAGAAGCAACTTTTCGAAGTAACCTTATCCACAATTGCATTGCAGATGTACAAGCAATCACTTTTGAGGGCGCCAAGATCATGCTGAATAAGGGCCTGAGCAATCACTTTCAGGTATCGCACACGATCAACATGAGCACCACAGTTCCAAGTGGCTATCGCTTTGGTGCCACCTATGTGGGCACTAAGCAATACAGCCCCACCGAGGCATTCCCCGTGCTACTCGGCGACATCGATCCATCCGGCAATCTGAATGCTAATGTCATACATCAGTTCTCATCGCGTTTGCGCTGCAAATTCGCCTCCCAGGTAAGTTCAATGTAGTAAATAGAACAATCTCATGCTTAAGCTATACCTTGCTTACAGATTCAAGAGTCTAAGATGATGGCCACACAGCTGAGCACAGATTATAGGGGCAATGATTTTACAGCTTCTATAACACTTGGCAATCCTAGCATATTTACCAATTCGGGTGTCGTTGTTGGCCAATATTTACAATCGGTCACGCAGCGCATGGCCCTTGGTGCCGAGGTCGCCTATCAATATGGGCCCAATGTACCTGGACGTCAGATAGCCATTGTTTCGGCATTGGGTCGCTACTCCAATGGTGACTCAATTTGGTCTGGCACCTTGGGACCGAGTGGTCTCCACTTGTGCTACTATCAGAAGGCTAGCGAACAGCTTCAAATCGGAGTCGAGGTGGAAACCAGTCTCCGTATGCAGGAGTCTGTTGCGACCATAGCTTATCAAATTGATCTGCCCAAGGCGGATTTGGTGTTCAGAGGTTTGCGCAATTCTTTAACTATATAAGACTATACTTCTATAGATCATTGACTAATTGACTAGCTGATTGATGTCCAACTTTTCTTAGTTGCTATTTACTGACCAAGTGATTGGATGATTGGCAGATTAGATGAGACTGATTGATTTACTGACTGTTTGATTAATACTTGACTGTCGGGTCGATTACGCGACTGTTGAATTGTTAACCTAGCTTGATTGACTTACTGTTTGTTTGATTGATCACTAATGTATTACTGATTAGCTGACTGATTGATAATCAAACTGTTTATACTGTATTTAGTAGTAAATTCATTAGTTGCCTGACTGACTGTTATATTTAAGCAAGCTTTAGTGAAATCTGTAATAGAAATCAAACTTTTTACTGTCCAATAGACCAATCTGTTGGCTTATCTGTTCTGCAATGTAGCGTTTGCCTAGGTTGATTGACTGATCGATTGACTGCCTGGCTGATGACTAATGTAGCCATCAAACGAGATTAATAAGCGGACTTTGAAGTGAAGACAGACACAAAATCATGGCATTTCCATATATCTGTAAATCTATATATATATATATGTCTTCTCTTATGTTTGCAGGCTCAATTGATTCAAATTGGCATATTTCGGGCTTTTTAGAGAAGCGTCTGCAGCCTTTGCCATTTTCGTTTGCGCTCAGTGGACGCATGAATCATGTAAAGAATAACTTTAAGCTCGGCTGTGGTCTGATAATTGGTTAAGCAGCAAAGAAACAAACATACCCACTTAGATACACACACACACACCTCCAGCAACAACAATAACAACAACTACAGCAACAGCAACAGCAACACCGGCAACAAACAACTACAATTTGGAGAACAGAAATTTATGGACAGAAAACGGAAAACATAAAAGGCGGACGCGGAAATATCAACAAAATCATAATTGTAGTCTTTCATCATTCAAGTACACACACACACACCCACCTACCCACACACACACATGCACATACAACTGCAGCAAGCATATATTAGTACATGTATATATATATACGTGTATATATATATATATATATGTGCAACTGTAAATTTTTATATATATATATATATTTATATATATATATATATCGATTTGTTCAATTTGTTTTAATTTCTGTAATCATTTTTGATAATTTGACTTTCAAGTGAAATTGCAAACGTAACAAAATTCCAAAGCAAACAAACGCCACAACAAAAACAACAACTTACATGCAACATGCAAGATGCAACAAGAAGGCAGCAGGCAATAATAGCAAACAAATCAGCAAGCAAATTCTTTTTTAACATTAAATGTTGTTATATAAACAAAAACAAAAACAAGGCAAAAGCGAAAGGGAGAAGAAAATGCGAGGGGCGCAGGCGTTGTTAAATGTAAAATGTAAAATACACACAATCAGCTGTATTTGGTATTAGTCTCTACACAATAATAATAACATATATATTATAAATAACTATAATAAAACAAGAAAAAAAAAACCAAAAAAGAAAGAAATGGTAAACAAGCAATGCTTTTTGTTGTAAGATACATTATAAACATAAACACACACTCGCACACACACATCTATATATATATATATATATATATATATATATATATATATATATATATATATAAACATATACATATACATATGAGTGCTATTATATGAGCTGCCACGCCCCCTATGCACACACACACACACACACATACAATTCCAATGCCAACTTTCGTACTTTTTACCCAAAAGCCGCATTTAACAAAAGAAAAGATGAAGAAATGTTTCCCAATTGAACAACAATTAAATAAATAATATTTTGTTAAATAAAAAAATTAAAGAAAAATTTGCTTTAACAATATTTTGATAAATACTTAAAAAAGAACTAAATACAAACTGCTTTAAGTTTATAATTGATAAATTATAAATTAGTTTTTAGTGCGGTTGACATCTAATATTTTTCGTTAAAATTGTAAAAAAAAGGAAATATTAAACTATTTTAATTAAATATTTTCAGTTGTGGGAAAAAAACCAAAAACAGCCGCAAAAACTATGTTAAATATGAAAATTATTTTAAAGCAAGCAAACAAAGAAAAACAACCTATAAACAAATAGTTCTTAGTAAATATATAATTAAATTAAATTGAGTGCAGGCATTTTTACTATTCCCTCTCTCTTTCGCGCGAACTGCGCGTCAGCTAGTCAGCAAATTAGTTTTGCGTTCAAGCTGTATTATTGCTGTTGCTATCTCTGTCGCTTATGCACATGAGGCGCTGCTGTTTTGACTAATGGCGTTCGTTGCATGCAGTGCTGCTAAGACTGTAAACAAAGGGAGCTTAGCTTTAAAACTCGGTTTAACAGAAAAGGTACAAAATAATAAAATATTAAAATTTTGTTGACAAAAAAACTTGCCGTTTCTCTTGTTCGATTGCAAATTAATAAATTATATTGTGTTTCTTAAGTCCTGCTCACAGGCTTTGCAGCAATTAGTCTAACAGCAACATCATTCGAAAGGACAAATTTGAATAAATTTGCCTATTTCGTTCGCTGTCTGTTGATAACTGTGCTGCTCAAAATGTAAGCCGCTTGCGCTTGCATGCATTCGATGCATAAGCATACGCATGTGTATGTATGTGTGTGTGTGTGTGTGTGTGTATGTCACATGCAAAATCGTTTTTAGACAGCATTATAATCATTTTAGTGCTTATTTATGCCGGCAGATGTCGCTTACAGCACTGGACAGCTACAGAAAGTGCACAAGCACACTCACACACATACAAATATAATAATAAAAAATAAGACCGGCATCCTTCCTGCTGGCCGCTGAGTTTTATCAGAAACAAAATTTTTGCACTAGTCGAAAAGCAAACAATAGCAATAACAACTGCAACAACAACATCAAAAACTACAACGACAATGAGTGGCAACAAACTTTGTTCAATCAGCTAGAGAAAAACGTTGTTGTCGTTGGCCCGCCAAATATTGTTTAGATAAGAAAATGTTGCTCGCGCATACACACCCACATGCATACAAAAACACATGGACGTATACAAATGCATATGCACAGAAAGAAACGCAGAGTATGTAAGAGTGAGAGAGAGAGAGGGTGAGAGAGAGGGAGATGGCGAACATACGAGCTGCCGTTTGCGCTTTGCTGTTTGCTGTTTGCTTTGCCCCCTCTCCTCCTCACTGCTACCCTTATAGCTGCTTGTGCCTGTCTGTCAATGGGTTTTTTCATTTTCCTTTACGTTGCTGTGTTATTCTTTTGCTTTTACATTTTTGCCCAAATGCAATTTGAACTTTGCCAAAATAAAAACGAAAAAAATGGAAAACAAAATAAAAATGCGGCCGCTTGCTTTCATATTGCATATTAAGCAACTTAAAGTAAAGATGGTGGCTCTGCACTGAAACCAAGAGCGAGAGAGAGAGAGAAAGAGGAGGGGGGTTGCAGCTTAAGCTGCTGTAAAAATTCAATTGCACGCGCAGGGCTCATGTCCAACTAAAGCGGCGATAAGACAAAGGCAAGAAAACTCATTAACATATAAAGTAGCCGCTAAAATCTCAGCAAGTGCCGCTTGTAATGCGGCTAATTACAAAATGGCGTCTGTGGCAGCCATCAAGAGCGCTGCCAGCGACAGCAGCGCCTGCGGCAGAGGCAGCTTAAGTGCCCGCCAAACTGTGCTCAGATAGCTTTAAAATCATTTCCTCCAGCGTTGCCAGATAAGTCATTAGTACGCGCAGCGCATCGTGCCATGCCTTCAAGTGGGCGGTAATGCATTAGATTATATAAATCTGGCCGGCAGCAGTGCTGCAAGTGCTGCCACAACTAAAACTTTAACTTAGCCATTAAATAGCTAAATATGATATATAAGGACTATCATCTTAAATTGACAAATTAAACTTATAAACTATATTAAATGATATTAATGAAGAATTACATAAATAATATATGTATAAGTATATATATATGTAAATATATATATATGTGTGTGTATGTAATATTAAATATAATATTAATATAATATTAAAAATGAAAAAAATATTAAAATTGTCTAAGCAAATCTAAGTGAGATGCTGCTTCACAGAAGTTGGCAAACATACTCCAATAATTGCTATACCGTTAGAAATTCTAAAGAGCGAGTATCAAAACAGATTTGTATGTTAACATAGCTCGATTTGGCGATGAAAAGCTATTTGCATAAGTGCTTCCAGCTATTTGCCTTTTAAAATAGCTAGAAATAGCCATAAGCTAGCTAAAGAAGCTATGAAACTGTTAAGCTGCCACTAAGCTGTCACAGGCAGTGGGTGAAGTGGGGATGGGGCAGCGTGTATATTGGCGAATTAGCAAACGCTTTTAACTAATTAATTAAATGCTGTTGACATGATAAATATCAGTTAACATACACAAAAACATAAATCAAAATCAATACACACCATGCATAAGGCAAATGGCGGTGGAGAGTAGACAGCAGCGGAAGTCAGTTGCAGCTGTTGCTAAGATCATAATCAGCAGCAGCAAACAACAACTACAACAACGAGACCAGAAGCAACTGTCAATGTGTCAAGCATGTTAAGTGTCTGCAGAGTGTGGCAACGCCGGTCCGTAAGGTGATGACAGCTGGGTAAATGTCACAGTGCGACAAGAACAGCAACAACAAGGAGTCTAGTAGGAGAGCAAGAGCGATTGCGCAAACAACTAAAACGTTTGACAAGTGCAAATTGTATTAAATCAAACGAAAGCAGTCAGTTTTATAAATAAAAAGAAAAGGGGAAATAGTTGGCAGTTATGTTAGTTTGCTTAAGTACATGTTTATATAGTATTCTGAATGTGTGTGTGAGCGAGTGAGCGAGATTTAAGTTTGCGGCCATCTTGTGTGCTGTGTGTGCATGTGTATGTGGGTACAGTGCAGTTGAATGCTGAAGAACATTAATTGCCCTAGCGGCTAATTGGCTGGCGTGCTTAAGCCGCTTGCGATTTACCGTTGCTACTACTTGAGCGCATTTACAGTGCTTTATGCTCGTCACTGATTGGCCAATTAAAACGAGCGCTTAATACAAATTACAAAATTAACACGCTTAAAGCAAGCCAACAGCGCACTAAGCTCTATACCCCTCCCGTTCACTCCTTCACATCAGCACTGACAGCAACAACAAGAGCAATGGGAACCAACAGCTATGCAATTGTGTTTGGCAGAAAGGGCGTTAGTCTTCCTTTGTATGTGTCTGTGTGTGTGTGTGTGTGCGTTCGCTGCTGTTGTATGCTTGGCATATTTACGCCAACTTTAGTTATTTGAATTACGTGACTTCAGCAACAGTTCTATGACTGAGTTAAACAGCGCCGAGACTGACACACACACATACACTTACGCCAGCGTTGGCTTAAACTTTGTGCAATTTTTTAAGCACACACTCACACTCACACACACACTCACACTCACGTTTCTGTATGCGTATTACTTACGTACATACTTATAAATACTTACTTACTATCTGTCTGTTGATTACACATGCACGTAAAAAAAATATTGAAGCAGCAGCAGCAAAGGCGAACCAAATGCAGCCACGGCACGAAGCCAGCCAGATACACGGCAACCGCCAGACCCATAGACCCACACTCTTCAAAAAGTATGCAGCATAAATACTCTTACCACATTGGCTGACACTAACGAAGATCGCACAAGGTTTGCACCGTCAGCGTGATGTTCCGCTTTTTAGCTATTCGATCACTAACTAGCTATAAGTTTGCAAATTTGCCAGCACTGAATAAGAAGCTAAATTATAAAATGGTTCGCTTCAATATATCTTCTCTGCTCTAGCAACAACAATTTGCCTGATTTGGCTATTTCTTTGTGCTACTCTAACATGCAAAACTTTTTTATGCCAGATTATTAAGATCGGTTGCAAAACAGTTAGCTTTTGCATGGCTGCCATTCGTCTTCCATTGGCTGGCTGCAATGAAGTTGATCTGCTCTAAATATTTTTTCTCCACCAATCACGATCCCTGCGCCCTGTTTACAGCTGTGTGCAGCCAT